CTCCACTACCTCTTCGGCCCCATCACCCGCCTCCACGCCGAGCGAACCCCCGCCCAGCGCCCCAGCCCGCCCCACGACGCCGAGGAGGGCGCCGCCCTCACCCTGCGCTTCGCCTCCGGCGTCGTGGGCACCTTCCTGGTCTGCGACGCCACCCCCTCGCCCTACAACTTCGAGACCGGCACCGGTGAGAACCCGCTTATCCCTGCCCCTCCTCCTCTGGCCGGCAGCGGCGGCGGCGGGGCGGACTTCTACCGGATCTTCGGGTCCGAGGCCTCGCTGAGTGTGCCGGATATGACGCGGTGGAGCTATGATGGGCGGGCGGAGAAGAGTTGGACTGAGCGGTTGGTTGCGGAGAGGGTGGAGGTGGAGGGGCAGGGGGAGGGCCAGGCGCCGTTTGATTTGCAGCTGGCGCATTTTGTGGATGTCGTTCGGGGCAGGGCGACGCCGAGGTGTTCGGGTCGGGATGGGTTACGGGCGGTGATGGTTTGTGAGGCTGTGCGGAGGGCGTTGGAGACGGGGGAGACGGTGGAGGTGGATTCTCTGAGTGAATGACTTGAGTAGATAGACGCAGGCACAAGTAGTAGTAGACTTATACATCTAGGTTTGGGTTGAACATGCGTGCTACAAATCGGGCGATCTTCTTTAACCAGTTGATTGCATATGCTTGATTATTCTGGATAAACAATGCAGTGACCTCCCTGTGCTATATATACCAATACCAATCTACAGATCTAAACCTTGGGCAAGTGCTCCACCTGCTCGTCGCCCGTCTTGGTGTAGCCCGACTCCTCGATCTCATGCCGGAACCGTTCCTCGTCTTCGCGCAGCTTGGCCAGGACCGTTGCATGGGCGCGCCAGATCGGCCGCGTCTCGAACAGGACATCCATGCTCTCCAGCGGGATCCCCTTGGTCTCCGGAATCAGGAAGAAGACAAAGACGATGGACAGGACCATCAGCGAGGCAAAGAAGAACCACACGCCGTACTCCATCTTGGCAAACATCTGCGGCGTAAAGCGAGAGATGAGGAAGTTCCAGAGCCAGTTGGACGCGGCCGCGCACGCCTGCGCGAGGGAGCGCATGTTGGGCTCGAACATTTCCTAAACTTGTCAGTCCCCTCACAGAAAGGCAAAGAGAAGGGTCCTACCGAGTTCATGACCCAAGGGGTACCGTTCCACGACGGAGTGTAAAAGACGGTGTACAGGTAGAAGAAGAACATGGCCGCAATGCCCCCGCTCGTCATCTCCGGGGTGGGATTGGAGGCCGGGTCGGCGATCTTGATATAAGCGCCCACAATGAACAGACAGACCGCGGCGCCGGCAGCGCCGATGAGCAGCAGCAGACGCCGTCCCACGCGGTCGATCAGGTAGAGGAGCCAGACGAAGGTGACCACCGTCTTGACCACGCCGAAGATCCCGGTACTGAACATGCTGGTGTTTGCGCCCTGGAGACCGATGCTCTTGAACACCGTGGGACTAGACACAGTGAGCAGCTGGCTTGCCGGAGGGTGGGATGAGGCATACCTGTAGTAGTTGATGGCATTGATCCCACTGCCGTTCTGCCAGAAGAAGAGCATGCTTCCCAGGAAGAGGCGATACATGACCTTCTTGTTGGTGCCGGCGGCCTTGAACGGTTTCCAGAAGCCAAGGCCGATGGTGGCCCGCTGCTCCTCCAAGGCCTGGTCAACCGCGCCAATCTCCTCGATCATGTAGATGTGGTCCGCCGGCAGCTGGCGGATCCAGCAGAGATTCTTGACGGCATCTTCCCGACGTCCCCGGGAGAAAAGCCAACGCGGCGACTCCTTGAGGAAGACGGCACCGATGAGAAGCAGACCGGAGGGGATCAGCTGGACCGCGAAGGGGATGATCCACTGCTTGTGGCTGGGAGCCAGCGTTTCACTGACGCCATACTACGGAGCGGGTTAGCATGTCTGAAGTGAATGGAGCAGACAGTCAAAAGTACATTGATCCAGAAGCCCACCAGACCACCGATCTGCCAGCCTAACTCGTAGACCCCCACCAGTCGTCCTCGAATCGAGGGGGGAGCCATCTCGGAGATGTAGATGGGAGTGATGTTCGAACCCGCACCGACCCCAAGACCGGCCAGAACGCGCCCCCCGTAAAGCAAGCCCAGCCCACGGTCCCCGTTGGCCCCAAGCATCAGACCCGCGCCCAGGGTGAAAATCGCGCCGGCACAGAGCAGACCCCATTTGCGACCCCAGAAATGACCAATGGGATAGGCGAAGAAGGCGCCGAAGAAGGCGCCGGCCTGGTAGCAGGAGACGATGTTGGCGCTCACCAGGTTGACCGCCGTCTTGGTCATCGTGTTGAAACCGAACTCGTCCTTGAACGAGCTGAGGGCGAGAGTGGTGCCGATGAAGGCACTGTCATAGCCAATCATGCATGAGGTGAAGGAGGCCACGGCGGCCAACAGGTAAATCCTCCAGTTGTAGACTTCCTTTGGGGTTGGTCGATCTTCGACCAGAGCAAGGATGGACATTTTGAGATCCTCAATTGAATGGTTGAAGTAGAAACAAAGTCGATGGCGGAGGCACCACTTTAACTAAATAGCCACAAGCCGTAGCTGTGGATAAACAGTCCGGAGCGACAAAACCTGGGGATATACGGAGTAGACTGCGTGGAGATGCGGAGAAGGAGTTGCTCCTGAAGAACTCTGGTTAAACCATTAAGCAGAAGGAAGAAAGCATATTAACTTTGCATTCGTCTAAATGCTTTAGAAATAAGAATGCCAAGGTCGTCCATGGTTTCTGCTGTGCCATGCCCCGTGAGCCTTGAGGAGCGGCTCCGATACCGCATGAGAGTAAGGGAGAGCGTATTTTGTGGGGAAGCTAGGACTAACTTGATGGCATCCAGCATATGCAGACTCAGACATGTCAGTTGCGAGAAGAGACTGTTGGGCTTCAACCAAGGGCCGATGACCTGGCGACCAATGGATCTCAATCAATGGGTCGGTGGCTGGGAAAAGTGATACCCGGCAATCAATCATGGAGATCTGTGCAGAAGCCAAACACAGGAAAAGGCTTCTCCCCGTGAGGAATCTAGAATCTAGAGGACTTGGCACTCGGAGGACGTCCGCAGGCAAGGCAATGGCTGAAAAGAGTTTCTACTCGCATGTCGAATTCTCTCAATGAGATGAGATGAGATGAGAATGAATTGATAACGTTTAAGTGATCAAGTGATGTAGATTCAAGGTGATGAAAAAGGAGAAGAAAGTGCTTGAGGAGAAGTGATTAAGGCTAAGCAAACATCCCCAGTCACGGGCAGCTAAACGTTTCTCCGCTGGGAAATGCACAATTCACTATCTCGATTCAATTCTAGTCATCTAGTGACTAGTCTCTACATCTTCATAATCAATTTATATCCCGCAATCCCATTTTCAATCCTTGAATTGTAACATCGACTCAGACCTGGGATAGTGCAAGTCATGGCCGCCCCCATCATGGACGTCCTCGAACAACAACCCCAACAACCAGAGGAGCCCATCCGCATTCCTGATCAGTTCGACGGAGTGGCATATCTCTACGGCCATCCTCTGCTCAACTCCCTGTCTCCACCTCTCCATCACACCGTCTACACGACCCTCGGCCTGAACTGGACCCAGATCCCTCTTTCCAGCGTCTACGGGACATCCGAATCCTACCCTCCACCCTACACCCGCTCTCCCCCCATCGCCAAATTCCTCGCCTCCATCAAGTCCAACCCCAAGTTCGTCGGCTCCTCCGTGACCATGCCCTGGAAAGTCACCATCATGCCGCACCTCGACGACCTCACCGAGGACGCCCGACAAGCCGGCGCCTGCAACACCATCTTCCTCCGCCCCGAAGCGGACGGCTCGCGCTCCTACGTCGGCACAAACACAGACTGCATCGGCATCCGCGAGGCCCTCCTCCAGAACTCCCCCCTCTCCCTGCCCACCGGCCATGACCCCTTCCGCAACAAGCCCGCCCTCATCGTCGGCGGAGGCGGCACCGCCCGCACCGCCATCTACGTCATGCGCAGGTGGCTCGGCTCCAGCAGGATCTACGTTGTCAACCGCGATGCCGCCGAAGTGGCGGCCATCCTCGACGAGGACAGGCGGCGCAACCCCAGCCCGCACCAGGCGGCGCTCGTCCATGTGACTGACCCGGCGGTGGCGGCCCGCCTCGAGGCCCCGGCCGTCATTGTCTCGGGCATCCCCAATTATCCCCCCAAGACGCCGGATGAGATCCAGGCGAGGAAAGTCCTGCGGGCGTTTCTGGGTGAGGCCCCGGCCCCGTCGGCCGAAAGCTTCAAGGGCGTGATTCTGGAGATGTGCTATCACCCTGTGCCCTGGACGGAGATTGCACAGCTGGCCTCGGCCGCGGGGTGGAAGGTGATTCTGGGTTCCGAGGCGTTGATCTGGCAGGGCTTGGAGCAGGCCCGTCTGTGGACCGGCAAGGATGTGGTGGCTGAGCCTGGTCTGGTGGACAAGGTCAAGGAGGTGGTGGCCAAGTTGATTGCCGAACGGGTGCCGTCCAAGTCGAATCTATAACTTTTTTTTTCTGGGATGGAGTTTGCATGTGTATAATAGAGGTTGCATGTACATAGATGACGCTAGCGAATATCCTCTCATGAAGTCTATTTGGGCAGGCCTACGCGCCAGGCCGTTTATAGTCCAGCGCCCTCACGCGTTTCCACACCTCCCTCACCGTCCTTTCCTGCGTCTGTCTCCCCGTCTCGGTTGCCGACGGCCCAGCCGGTCTAAATGGTCATGGTCATGGTCATGGTCAGCTTTCCATCGCTAGTGCAGATCAACGGCATCTCACCTGATCGCCAGATACAACCGACTGCCCAAGCGCACCTCCTCGATCGGATCCGTCTCGGGGTTCGCCGGCGGATTGGCCGTCGTGACGAGCCCCCCGGCCTCGAGCAGAATCGCAATGCCAGCAGCCACATCCCTAAAAATCAGCCATCCGTCATCAATCGGGGCAGAGGGAAACTACCACTCCCAACACCCGCCCTCCCACCAGATATCCACCTGTCCCTTATACCCATCTGACGCCTCCGACGAACTTACGTCTATCCAGCTTCACACACTCTCCTA